TCCCAAAGCCTTTGAGAATCCGCTACTGCTCGAGAAAACGCGCGATTTTTTGTACACCCTTTATAGCATTCGCACCGAGGTCTTCCCCTTTACGTCAAAGAGCAAGAATTTGAGATGCATAAAATAGATCAAAGTCGTAACATCACTCGTTCCTCCGAGATACCACGAGGGACCAACGACTCTCCTGTTTCTATTTTCTAATGGATATACACCAGCGAGCAATTCGTCGCTCGATTGAAATTCGCGTAGTCTCGTTTTTTCGTTTGCCTGTCGATGCTTAAATTAGTGTCAACATAGATAGGTCGGAATGTCATAGACCTTGCGACCGGATCTCCTCCACAGAAAGAACAGTTTTTGTTGAAGTGTCCAAAAATTTAACTAGATGCAAATTTTTGAAAATAATTTCGTCGAACCATCAAATAATACAATACAAACTCTAATATCTAATAGTATCTAAATAATATCAAAATAATTATTATATAAATAAGTCCAAAAATTTAGCTAGATGCAAATTTTAAAATAATTTCGTCGAACCATCAAATAATACAATACAAACTCTAATATCTAATAGTATCTAAATAATATGAAAATAATTATAAATAAGTCCAAAAATTTAGCTAGATACAAATTTGAAAACAATTTCGTTGAACCATCAAATAATACAATACAAACTCTAATATCTAATAGTATCTAAATAATATCAAAATAATTATAAATAAGTCAAAACAGGACTATCATTATTAAAATAGTAAAATTGTGTGACATCAAGATAAATAGGAGTTCACGAATAAGATTACATAAACGTTATAAACTAAAAAGTGTGCACAAACTCATAAATTACTTATTAATAGAATAAGACAATATTTAATAAATTCACATTACATGTTTCGGCTACAAATTCGAGCCCTCCTCAGATGTAAAATTACAATCAAAATATACAATAAAAATACACTATATAAGACAAAACGCAATCGCTAATGAAAAACATAGAGAATATACAATATCAATGGAATGCTAGTGTTGGATGAAATACTTGAAACAGAGGAAACGAAAATTGCTCGCCAATTGGTTGGAAGACCGAGATTGAGAAAAAACCTTTTCTCAAAATAATTACGTAAGACATTCAAGTTACTAGAAAACACAATTCTTTCGCAACATTGTTTATATTATGCTTGAGTTTCCTACATAATTGTTTTAATGATTCAACAAAATTATCTTCAGATCTGTATCTAACTAAATTTTTAGATAGCAAAATCATTCTTTCCGTGTTCAAATACGAAATTATACGCGTGGCTTTCATGGCGTATAAAATGAGTATCATTTTTCGCGGAGCTTTTATCGCAGATTACATCGTGCGCAGGCGAAGGGAAAATTTGAAGTTAACGAAATATTCTGCTTTTCGATAAGGCGAAAATGCCATAGCGGACATTATCATTATCGTTGGAAGCTGTCATGTTCAGCTGAAAGGCGGGACAGGCGACAGATTGTTATCGTGGATTGTAATAGGTTCGTTCTCTCTTCAGCTGCCACTTTTCACACTTGTCCACACTTCTCTTCTCTCTTTCTCATTTTTTTTCCCCCTCCCATCTCGTTTTTCTTCGCCAAGCGTGAACTACAACACGCCGTTTCACTTAGAGCTGCGGAGAGTCTAATAAAGTGCAGCTGGAAAGAACGGACCTAATGCGAAGTCGGGTCGGGGGAATTCAAAGCTCTCGTGCGATGCGACCGGAACTGCAATTGCAGTTTGACATCGCACGAAATGTTACGTCCGTCCGATTCGATCTTTGCCTCACGATTCCCGAATATGAAACTTCCATTAAATTTCAATTTAATTTATTTTCTCTTCTATATAACATATTTTCAATAATGGCATATTTTATATAATAATAAGGAAATAATGAAGAAATTTAATTGCGAATTCTCTTCTTGAGAAATAATCGTCTCCTTTGACATATTAAGTATAACAATTGGTTCTATTTATTAGGTGTTAAACTTAATTCCTGCCGTTTTTCGTCTCCAACATTGATTTGTTTCGAAGGGAAATACCTTAATCAAAGTATTATTAATTAATAATAAAATAGAAAATGGAGGAAATTACTTTAAGGTATTCATGCATCTTCCCTTCGAAACAAATCAATTTTGGAGACGAAAAACGGCAGGAATTAAGTTTAACACCTAATATCACGATAAGATCGAAAAGTATGGATATTATTAACAATAGTGATTGTATCTAAATACTTTTTAACAATGAGGAAAAAATTTTCGATAAATCGAAAGAAATAAAAGCGGACGATTAGTGTAAATAAATGTGCAATTATCGTCTTTTTCGAACGTCGAAGTACTTGGTATCAGGAATCGTAATATGATACTTCGTTGCTATCGAAGCAACAAAAGCGCCGATAAAATCAGAGGTTCGTTCGCGACTCGAGGCGGAGGTGACATAACGGCGACGACATGTACGGTCGAACGATAAGAGTGCTATAATAATCTTACGTAAAGCCGGAAGTGTATCGTCGGTACCGATCGCAAGTTGTGTATCGCAAGTCGCGAATTGCAAACGGAAGCGCGTCTCCGCCCACCATAGGAAGATAAATGCTGAATTTAATCGCGAATGCTTTACTTGAGAGATAATAATTGTCTTCCTGACTGCATTATGAATAACAATTGATTCTATTTATAATATATTCAATATCGCAACGAGATCGAAAACTGTTGATAAGTTTCTATCATTATCTGTTACAACGACTGTATCTAAATCGCATCTGCGTTTTTTTTTACGCTTATACCATTTCGGATCAACTTTTAGAAACAGGCTTTAATCTCGTTCCTCATTTCACATTATTTACAAACACGATAAAAGCAAATACAACAGAAATTGATAATAAAATCACCGGCTGGAAGTGGTTCATAATTCTCAAGAAAATACGAGTGCCATTCATGTAATTAGCCAACGAAATGTAATATGTGTTGCAGCAATTAATTTCAAATATTCTCGGTTATAGAAAAAGCGAGATGGCTTTATTTACACGCGCTCCAAGATAGCATTCTCTCAAGCGTTAAAATATTAATACAACAAGAGACGCACAAGAATGGATCTAACAGTGCGAGAATAATTATGAAATTAAAGTAAACAAGAGACAGAGAGAGAGAGAGAGAGAGATTGTTAATAAAATTATCTGTTTATTAGCTCAAATGTGCAGAAGCTCAAATTGTGTACATAAATGCCCCTCCCCGCGTCGCGTGCAGAAATCCACGACTAAAATACGTGGAACATGCGCGAATAGCCGTGGAAAAACAGTGATCGGACGCGCGTTATCTTAATGAAAAACAAGAAGCTCCTTCGTCTATCGTCAGTTTTGTTTTCGAATTTCCCGCATACCGAAAAACTCTCACGTACCGTGCCCGTCGTCCATAACGCGGAAAATCTCCGCGTGCATTTTTATAGATAAACAATCGCGGCTCCGTGCACCTGCGGTACTGAATTTCGATATTCGTATCGTCGATTGTGTAATAGATTAGCGAGGAGACCTCTCTTAAGCTCTTCCCTCTCTCTCTTTTTTCTTCTTTCGATTTGAAATAAATTAAGCTAGGATTATACGAACGGATATCGTGACGGAAACTTAGTTGCGAGTTCATAGCAAAGTTGGAATTGATTAAAACAAGTTGAAGCAAGCGCAGGCGGCTGTAAAGCACGCGTCGTTCGCGATTTGTATTTGATTGTACGTAATCTATCGATTCTCTTTAAAACGCATACTAAAAGATTCATGAATGCAAAGGTACGTTATACTTATACGCGAGCCGTTATACATGAATGAATGATTATTAACGAAATCTTACTCTGGGTCAACGTTTCTTTCCTCGTTTCGAAGAGCGGAATATCCGTAGTGGTGGGAGGTGTGTCAAAAAAAAATGACCGTGCAGAAATAACCGCGTATCCGTTTAAGTAACTGCGAATCGACGCGACACGGACGATTTCGCGATCGAAGTCGTCCGTTACGCGAAATCGGAGCGAGTGCGATTTCGCAGAAAGGTCCACTTTACGCCGCGCGAATCTCGCGCGCGGCACACCTAAGGGACGTTGAAAGCACTGTGTTCTACGAAAAACACTCTCCGTCCCAAGAGAAATTCTCGAACGCGGCCCCGCGCACTGCTACCAAATCATCCCTCTCTGACTCACCCCCGTGACACGCTCCGAATCGAGTTCACCCGAGGACACGGGGGCGGCCGCCCGTAATCGCGTTATTTAGGATATTCTTCACGAGGGCCGAGGCGAGCGGAGCGAGAGACGCGGCGCGACTAGCCAGGGTAGTCCCGAGAAAGTAAACCACCCCGAGGAAAAGTAGGGTGGCTCGTCCGGCGGCGTGCTCGTTACGCCGTACCCGCCCAACGCCAGAGAGAGGAGTAGAGGACCGCCGATCTTCTCGACTTCTCCGCGAAAGAGATTATCCGGCGATGCCCATGCCGGCCAGATAATCGGCGCGATAGCGCGACGGGGCCAACACGGATGCGAATGGGAGAGATGGAAATACGGTGGAAAAGGAAAAGGAAAGAAAAACTGAAAAAGAGAGAGCCGCCACCTTCTACACCCCCGAGCTATACTCGCCCGTGTCGAGTGCGTCACGCATCCTCTCCGGTATTCCTGGCGCGAGGCGGCGGAGGCTGCTGCGATGCGCGAACGAGGCGAGGCGAGGCGAGGCGAGGCGAGGCGAGGCGAGGCGAGGTGAGAGACAGGAGACTCGATCCTCCCTCCCGAGAGCGAGCGAGCGAGCGAGCGAGCGAACACCCCTCGTCGGCGCGGTCGTGGCGATCGTCAACGGAGATCCTTCTCTCCCGCGAGTCGCGCGCGTTGCGAGAGTCGGCGACAAGCTGCGCTTCTCCGCCGTCAGCCGTGCGTCTCGGCCGGAGGGTGCGCACGGAATTGACGAGGGCGAGGGCGAGAGAGGGTGAAAAGGTAGGCGGCGGAGGGCGGGGGTGAGAGAAGGTGCTCTCGCACTCACATGTCTGTCGTGTGATGAAATCGGCGCGCGCGCGACGTACCCCCGACGTATCACCGATGACGGGGTACGACGGGGTGCGAGGACGAGCACCGACCCGGGACCGTGGTCATCACGCCGACGATGACGACGACGACGACGATGACGGTGCTAGCTTGCTGCTGCTGCCTTCTCCTTCCTGTACCAATCTCGGTAGGTATACTCGGCTCTACTGCGACTGTCGCTTCCTCGCGCGCGTTACGAGACTCGTGCGATCGACAGCGACGTCGTCGTCGGTGCGACAATGTCGCGGTGCGCGTGGGGCCCCCGTTAGACTGTCGCCGACCGACTGACGGACGCGTGATCGGTTACATGCATGGTTTAACGCGGCCCCGACATCGCTCGGGGCGGGACGCAACGCGCGCGTACCCGCGACCGAACGTGTGCTAGTTGCTACGAACGAGGTAGAGAAAGAGGAGAGTCGGATAGGGGTGGCGAGACGGACAGGCGAACGCGAGGATGCGGTCGAGTGAGAGAGATCTCGTTTGTGGGGTGAGATCAGGAGGG